CAGTACAACGAATAAAAGTACTTCTGTTGAATAGAATCTTGATTGGAAGGAGTTTCCATTCTGTGGTCACTGACATATACAGTAACTTTTCGCAATATACCTTTGAACACGCCTGTGAATATGCCTTTATTAACACGGATGAAGAGTTCATACATTCCATTGATTACTTTAACCAAAGGATTGAAGTGGTAGTTCTTTAAATGCGAGTCCGAATATTTTCATCTTTTACTTTAGTTTATTACCTGGAATTGGTTTTGTGTAACAGTTTGAAGGAGCATTCAAACTATCGCCATGTGAAGCAAACTGGTCTTGCGGTAGAACGCGAGACTTCAGTTCCCGAGGTATCTGGTTCAAATCTTGCCAAACGCCAATTTACCTTATCTAAGTGATAAAGCTACCTATAGGCCTAGCCTGAAGTAATAGAAAATAATCATGTGCTAGAGCCTAGTTAGAAAAATAAACTATACCATCTTGTTATAGAACCTTGGTTAGTAACCCTCCACACCCCAGTGCTGTTGCCAGAGATGTGCTCGTGCGTGCAACGCTGCCACAGAAGATGGTGTTAAGATAAGGCTCTCGGCTTATTGATGGCCTGTGTTACACCTAACTGCCTCCCATATTTCGCCGCTGCTGTTTGTTTTATTCAATCCCTCCCTCGCCGTTGCTGCTGAATTCAGAGATCCTACGGCGATAGCCACTCAATTCAGCAATTGAGGAATGATTTGTGAAAAGTTTACTTGCATTCGTTGACATTTGCAAAGTTAATTGAACTCCCGCAAGAGGGTACTATTCTTGGTTAGTCTTGGATTTTGGTATGGGAGGGACGAGTTCAATCACCGACGTATGCACTAAAATTTGAGGAGGTTAGACCAAATGTAGAGGGTTGAAGAATAAAAAGACAATGGTGTTGAAATTAACCAAACACACTTGCATGTGTTTTGCAACGGTGTATGAATTTACTTTGAAACTCCTGCAAAATACAGCTAAAATGGCTAGTTGTTGTAGAATTTAATGTGTTTTCTAAACCAATTACTTCTGTGAATAAACATTACACAAGCATATCATTTTAGTCTTTCGGAATATTCTATTCTATTTTGTTCAGCTAGAGTTATAAATTAAAAGCATTCGACTGATTCAAAACGCCTAGTTAACATTTTAGGTATTCTTTTGATTCCTAAGAGGCCAGTCATTACTTCCGGAGTCCCTGCGTTAGAATAATATCGTAAATAGAATAGAACGTAAATAGGCCTATAGGTATGGAACGACGGCGATGCTGGAAATATAATTATAATCTCCGTGCAATGTTCAATTTTATTTCCTCCTGTGGTTTTTGCTTGATAGAATATGCAAATCCACATTACCTACTAATAAATTAATTTTCTCTTAATTAAGTACCTATTATTCTTCATAATGGGTTTGTGTGATTACTATCAACCACAAAATACGTTTATATGTTTACTGAATACGCTTTTAACCCTCTTTTCGAAATACTTTAAAAATGTTATTCGCTAAGGGTTCGTTCTACTACTTTTCTGTGGACTATATTTCTAAAAACAATGTTATTGATCAACATTGGTAACGCTAACACATGATGGAACTCCGCCTCGTTGGAAACAAAGTAATTGTAAAGGTCGCATCTAGCATTCTGTTTGAAATATGTTTCGCCGATTCCGAGAGACAATGGCGGTATGCAAATGTATGCAAATCTGCTGGAAACAATATATTGTGCCATGTCAACAGCGGCGGCACGCTGCAATCAATATATCTACCTGTTATTGTGACCTTGTTAACATAAACTATGTTGAATTGTAGTTCGGGGAAGTGAAACAAAATGTTTCTAGTCAGAGTATGCAGTTTCTTCAACACATTTGGATAAAAGTTGGGTCCTGTTAGATCAAGACTGGTCTGTTCTTGTGGCCTTGATAAGATAAATACAGTTGATATTGACTTTAAAAACTAAACCCATATTTCTGGTCATATTCCATTGCCTTCCACTCCTTTGAATAGTTGGGTCAGGTTTGGTTAAATATTTATTGCCTGTGTGGGTAACTCAGCATTAAAAAAAAAACTCCAAAACAACTTTGGATTATGTATTTTTTTAAATTTTACATCTTATTTAAAACCCATTATCAATTGAGATGGGGTAACCTAGGTGGGTATTTAATCCCAAATACGAATATATATATTTGGTTGGCTAACCTGCATTAGTTATTGGAAAAGCACTGTTGTGTAGTCTGACAATTTCTGTCACATTATCTAATCAAATTGACAATAGATTTCGTCTAATTTTAATCATAAAAAAAAACTAGCATTACTCATGACTACAACATGCATGGCATCAATTGTTCTATTCATAAAAAGTGTTTCACACAGTAAATAATCAGTTTAATCATCACTCTTGGCAAGGAATTAGTTTTAACGAAGTTAACTATAAATACACGAAATAGCTATCCTAACCTAATCCAACCCAACTAGCTGATAAAGGAGATAATTGGTAGCGAAATTAATTTCCCCATTACTTTTTTAATATTTTGAGATAAAACTAATTTTACCAAGAAAGTTAACTACAATAAAAAATCGACTATATGTATAGAGTGCAAAAATTGTTCTTGTTAATTGTTAGCTACTTTCCAACATTTATTTGTACATGACTGAAAAGCTAGTAAGTTGCTTTAAACAATTCAAAATGATGTTTGCCCTTTTCCTATTGACAGGTTTATTTACTTTAGTGTGTTTCCATTTTAGTCAAACAGTAGTTAACGTTTGGCCAGCAATAAATATTATACACGAGTATTTTAAATTTTGTATATCTTAAATTCAGACTCCTTAATTTTTGATACGTTCGATTGTCCAACATGTTTTATTTAGTCAGCAAACTGGTAGCAAAAAATCTAAACTAGCAACTCATTTTTAGTAATAATTAACAATATAAAATCATCAACCTTTGTGAAACCACCAGTAATTTGTTTCCATGTCCATTCCCCAGACAACTTTTTATTATACTGTAGAATGTATTGAATTTCTGGTAGAGTATTGTTTCCGCTGGTAATCGCTATAGTGCTGTAGGGGGAGAGGAGACATCCTTAGTGAAGCTACATCACTACATTACTACATTACTACATTGCTACATTGCTACATTGCTACATCACTACATTGCTACATCACTACATCACTACATTGTTACATTTCTACATTGCTACATTGCTACATTGCTACATTGCTACATTGCTACATCGCTGCTTGATTTGACCAATGCTCGCCATTAACTCGTGGAATCCAATAAACATTGCCAACACTGCTCTTTCCCCTATTTCTATCGGTAGTGTTATTCGGGCTGGAAAACCTCAATGGAACAGTATAACTTTAATATAAAATATATGAAAAATTAGATCACTAAAATTGTAATTATAACATACTTGAACAGGAAGTTAATGAGTGAAGTTGTCTAAAGAAGTAAATGAGTTTTAACCAGAATAAACTAAATTGCTGTATACACTTTTGGGAAACTACCTTAATGAATGCTATCTTGCAAACCGTGAAAATTGTAAGATAATCTCGACTAAAGTTATTCACAAAATCATTTTCATCTTGATGGAACTACTAAAAATAAGGTATCGTGTACACAGCAAAACTTCAGAAAAACTCAAATAAAGTTATCCATCAACCAACCCTGTAATCCTATAACATAACTGTAAATGAATGGCAAACTAAACACAAATTTTAATATCAAGGGCAGCTGAGCATGGATAGAACCACCTAAAGGTTCAAAAACTGTTAACACAAGACACAATTCTCCATCAGACGAAATTCCGTCCACAAAACATCAGTAATTCAGATGAAACCACACGGTTCGATCAATGCTACAAAGACAAAGGAAACATAACCGATTCCCTGCCTAATCTCCAATTCGGAGGAGAGTGCACTCGCAGCTTAAGTATTTGTTTAATTCGGAGGCCGTGGAATATTAAGTCCCGTCTTGGAACAGAGGGTCCTCTAAACTTAATTAGCTACCAAGTCGCCCCTGGAGTCGTCATAATGCGTTTATCAGTCGCCTAGCAACTGTTCTGGCTCTGCTAGGGCTAATGTACCATGGAACCATGCTACAGTACCATCAGTACCACTGTGTAGTGGTTAGTCTATAAACCATTACTAAAACGTTTGTAGGTAATCGGGTGTTTATATTTTCTTTTGAACTTATTGAAATGATGTAATGTAGTAAGCATTTTTGTGATAGCAGGTGCTGAAAGTGAGGTTAGTTTTATCATTTGTTGAAACTAGTTAGACTGTCGTTGAAATTTGTTTATTGAGGGTTTTGGTAATCTATCGGCAATATTTTGGGTTACTTTTTGTGAACATGGTGGTTGGTTAACTGGTAATAATTAAATTAAGTATTTCATCAGTTTTTTCCCCTAGAGGTTATACTAACCATATTCAGTTAAACATTTTTTTTTATTCACGCCGTTGGCATTTTTTTACGTTTTCCTCCAAAGGAACGGCCCGAACTGTTGTGTTGTTATATTTAAGTCGACCTATGTTTTGATTGCATCATTAATTAAATTAATTTTCAGGAGACAGGTTACACCATACAGATCGTGAAATTGTATTTGTGAATATTTCTCAGTAGACTTCAAAATGATCTACAGTATTTATGTAATACGTTTTTTTTTGCTTAAAAATGGCCAATTGTTCTATTGTTGTACTGCGAGATGATTTGATAACATGATTAGCAAGTTTAGTTAACCTATTGAAATTGCTTAAAAGATCATCTTGGAAGAATAGAAGAAGTTTTACAGATTCTTCTTGATGCCTCCAGAGAACAACAGTTCAGCATTTGAATAAAAACAATTTGTTGTATTAAGGTTAACATGGAAGCTATTGTACTTGCAGTAGACAAACTACTGAAATTTTACATTGTCCAGGAAATTAATAATTTCTTGTACCTCCCTGTACCTAATATATTATACCTCGAAACAGTGTCTAACCTTGTGGTTTTGTTGCAGGACAACTGCCAGAACTATGTCCGCATCCTGGCAGTGATGGCTCCAGGCAAACTGTTGGTTTGTGGCACCAACTCCTTCAAACCCATCTGTAGAGAATACTCAGTGCAGGTACGGTACATTTAATTGAATTGTATTGACTCTCTTTAGCATATCTTATTTTAGACTGACTATCTTATTCCAGAAGATAGATGGTTTGAGTATAGTTAGTAGAGTATTTGTTAGTTACCGTAGTTGTTATGTCTGTGTTTGGTAGTCCCTCTAATAAAAATTAAAACTTTAAAATCAAGCAGCATTAAATATGTTAAATGAGTACCGAACACTTAACCTGAAAGTTCCACCCATAAGTTTGACCATAGATAACACATACTCCCTTAGACATCCACCAAACACAATACATCCATCAACACAGTTCCAAAAACATGATACGGTATACTATCAAGCAAAAATGTTTGGCCTAAAATAATGCGCCTGAAATGTATAGAAAAATGTGTAGAATAACCAAGTTTTTTACTTAGGTACCAAACTACTAAATCTGTTCTAACTAAATTCGACTAAATGTTTTAATCCCAATGAATTTGAAGACTTGTGTCATGTAAAAACTGGATCTATTACCTATTTAACTACAGTACAATTTTTTTCTTGAATCATAGCATAAAAGTTAGGCTTATTGTACTAACATCCCGTTTTTGCTTACATTTTTCCCCTCAAACCAACTCACATCTCACTTATCTGGCTGACATAGTGCGGTGATTAGTGCTAATGCAAGGGACGCGTTACAAGGGTACAATGTATAAAAGATGGGCGATAATAAAAGTGACAACCCTATTTGTGGAGTAACAGCTACAGGCTCATACAGCTTCCAACAACTGAGCAAATATTTCAGTTGCGCTCCTTTAGTTTGTCAACACAACTCCCTCTCTCGCTTACACTTGTATCAAATATATTATCTACACAGTTTATATCTCACTTCCTTTATGTGATTTGTTCCATATTTTCGCCTTCTATTTGTTCGTGGTGTTAAAGCATCGGGGAACACTTTCGTGTTATTTCAAGTTGGAGTTGAATGAAATGAAATGAAATGAAAATCGTCTTTATTCTTGAGCGTTTTTCATATTACAACATCGGCAACATATTTCATATTACAATGGAGTTGAGAAAATGTAACTTGTTACACAATTCATGTTTGAAATCACTGGCAATAATGGTGACAAGTAATGACTACATTGCCACACCTGTAAACAGTACGTAAAATAGTTCATTTCGGCTCTTGAGCGGGAATAACCAGTGTACCTATAATGTTATGTAGGTAGCTTTTTTTTTACAAAATAATGATTAAAGATTTCAGAGTAAATCATCTTATTGTTCCATCTAAATAAAGTTGAACGTTGAACTTTGATAGACAGCAACCATTGTTTAAAAACTTACTGTTTGAGTGTCACTTAATAGTTTGGTTGCCACGTCCAAAATCTGCCACAAAACCAAAATCTGTGATAAAATTGTTATGGGTGATGATGCAAGTTGGGATGGCAAGTTTACTATTGAAGTATGAGCATTTTATGGAGTTGTGAAATTGATAACTGACAATCTATTCACTGTGCAACATCGCCTGCTTTTTATTACGTCGTTTGAGGCTTGGTTTATCATCGTGGTGTATGCTCCCTTTGTCGGTTACTTTTATTTATTGAGCACTCATTAGGATTTATCTCTTCCTGTTATCACCTTTTGATTGGTCAAACTCAACACCGTGACAATATAAAGAGTTTTGTGATTCAGACAATAATCAAGATCGACAAAGAATATTACTTTGTTTCAACCGGTTTTGACGTAAAGGGATAAGGGCCGTAAGACGGTTTAAACTTCTTTTCATCACAAAGAATATCTTTCATCTTTTGACCTTTTAAAAAATAACAATAGTCCATCATGAATCCTTTAACCAAACTTTCCTTTGACAGTAGAATTCCCGCGGGTGGTTTACTTATTCACTCAATACAACTTATCGGTTTCTATAACTAACGAGGTTTCTTTTAAAAAAATTGCTTGGTTGAAGTTGTATTCGTAAATATGCTGCTGCTAAATTCAATTTTTAACTTATAAATTTTCTTTAGCTTTCCATGAAATACATATAATTTACGTATGATGTAGTTATAGTTATACGTATGTGTAATATACATATAATGTACGTATAATTTACATGTAGTTTTCACATAATGTGTTTTACATATAATATACATGTTTGTTTCAGACGGGATCGTACACGTTAGACAAGGAGAAGCCGGGACAAGCGGTGTGTCCTTACGATCCTCATCACAACAGCACAGCAGTCTTTGTTGGTGAGTCTCGTGCACATTTATACAGACTAGTATGTCGTTCTATTACAGGACAGTTTCTTTGCCCTAGAGTTCTTAAAGATTATCAGCTGACTTACTGAAACAAGGCTACTTTTGAGGTATCCTTAAAACACTAAAAAAACTCACCTTTAACTATAAACTTGGATTTTTCATTTTAAGACACAGTCTACATACTTTTTCGCCTTCAGTTTCATTCTAGGATGCTAGAATCTAGCCCAAAACGTTGTACACATTACTTAGGCTAAGCTTAGATGGTCCTTTCGTCATCACGAAAGCCATTAGTGTTTGGTGGTATTTTAACCCGGGATCTCAGGAACCAAAACGCCGCGCTTTACTACTAGACCAGCTTCCTCTACGTACAGTATACCTAGTAATACTGAATTCTCTACAAAATTAAAACATATTAGCATTATGCAAAATAAGTAGGTATTCTAAAATTTAATCTAATACCCTACAGGTTGTACCCAACCTCTCCACCGACCTTTTAAAGTAACATTTCAGGACGAAAAACAATCTAAATCAAATACTTTCAAAACTCAAAGTTTTCCGTACAGATATTTTTTATTAGCTAACGGCTGTTTGTAATTAAGTGAAATTTGGTTAATAAATGAATAACACAAAAACCTAATTTGTTGACAAATATTTTTATAATGTTTTCCTTCAAAATTGGGTATGTTTAAAATTTGTAAACTCGTATATCATAGGCCTACGTAAACAAAACTACTGTATTAATGTTTTATTTAGACAATCTTATCACAATGCTAACGATAAAATTTTTTCAATAGAACAGTAAATAAAGGAGAAACCTTTTTTATGATACAGCCTATTGGCAATGCTCGCGGTTATTATGTAAAAAACTGCTGGTCAGCTAAAAAAAATCAGCCATAATATGTTAGTTACCCATTGTGCGCAAATATTGTTGTATTCAGTTTCTTAAAAACCTGTTTTCTCCCTTAAAAAATTATTAATTTTTGGAAATTTAAACGTGATTCTTTAGTTTGCCTTTTGTTCTAAGAATGACTCCTTTAAAAGTTCGGTCCAGAGTTTGGGGACACCCTGTACATCGGATGCTTTGCAATTTGCTTTACAAAATGACTATTTTACAAATGTATACACTTTCACTGCATTAACTTAACATGTTAAACTGTTAACACTTTAGTGAGGATGCATAAGTGCCTACACATAGCTGAACAACCCCTGGTAGTGATGAGGGGGAAGGGGGGTCTAAAACGTGTATTGTCGAGGATGTCAGCTATGGACCACATCCGGACCATGGTCCATAAGTCATGAGTGAATGTTGCCATTGCTCACCCCAGTAATGCTTAATGCTCGCTACAACGTCAGAGTTGCTCAATTGTTATCGCACTGTAGGAGTTGTGTAAATGGTTGTAGGTACAGTAGTCACTTTGTGTAAGATATTGTTCTGTTGTTACTAACAACGATCTATTTTAGTTGGGTTGTCTACTACCTGTAAATGTTAGGGTGAGTGGGATTGTCTAACTTTACACCTGTTGATATTTGGGTGGGTGTTATACAAATGCGGAATAGAATTAGATGTTTAAGTTGTGTTTAATGCATATCCAATGTTAAAACATGATTGTGAGCATCGTTTAGTATAACCACGCAAAATCCTTTCTTTTTTTTATTTGCACTTGGAGAACTTTACTTTGGTCAAAATCTGTTTTTACCCTGAAACAATTCAATTGGTACTCTAGGCAATATTATAGCATTTCCTTGGGGTTAAAAATATTGTTATTCAATTTGGAAAATAAAACTTAATTGACTGACCAGTCAAGAATTTTCAAGGTTTAAGTTATTTACACCATTTTAAACCTGGACTTAATATAACAAATTTGCAATCCTTGTATTGTTGATAAGTAAAATCCCCCAAAGTTCTGTGGGTAAGTAGAAAATGGTAGTACAGATAATTGAAGATTGAAATTATGTACCATTTAAATATGAGCCCTATGAACAATATTTTCTATTGATCAAAGTTTAAAGCTACTATCCTTTTGTTTGGCATTCCCCCAACTTTCTTTTTAAACAGATCTAAATAAAATACTTTTTTAATCACAATTTTCATATTTGATTCTTTTTTGTGACAATATCATTATTTCCCTAATGAGTAAACATGTTTGTTTAACATTTTTAATGGATTAACAGACTGATACGACAAGACCATGAATAATTTATTTTATAATCTCACACAGTTTTACCGTTAATCAAACAAAAGTCGTTCATCGGAAACAAGTTTTACTTTCAATCAGAACTGTTTCGAAGTGAGCTTTGTAGTAATTCTCAAATAAGCAGACACTGTTTCATCTTATTAGCACCCGTATCTCAGGGGCGAAAGTTTGATCAAATGGAACTCTCTTGTCTACTTTGATCTGAGTTCTGATCCGAGGGCAACTTTTGTTTAGTAATATTGAATGTGATTGCTCAGTAAAGAAGATGTAGGCAACCTGAGACTAAGAAATTGTTCTAAACTCCCGGCTCGACTTAAAACTGAACTTGTCACATTTTACTTGGATCAGGTTCTCTTTGTACAGTGAATGTGGTGTATTAGGCTCATATATATATTAAGGATTTAAATAATTCCTTAAATGTGTTAAAAGAGGTGGTCGAATTAATGAATTATTGTTTAATTAATATATTCAGTATGGTATTCTCGTATTAATTATTTTGTCTACATTTAAATGTGTTGTGTAATGTGTACTATTTCTAAAGTTTCTGATCTTAAGTTTACTTTTTATAATTTTTATTTCTCCCTACTAGATTTTGACAATTTTATAAGCCCTTCGTCTGAAAATCAATGTTCTCAAATTCTTTCTAGAGCTGTCTATTTGTCCAGAAAACCCGATGATTCTTCACCACATTATTAAAAAGCTCATAGTGCTGGTTATAATATTAGTTTTGTACTTTTTAAGGCCTGCCATGTTAATACAGACTATTATTCAACAGAACTTCCATTGTCAATATAGTATAAAAAATTTTAGTTTCTTAAATTACTTAAATATTTCTTTCACTGCAAACTTTCCGCTTATCCGCATGTTGAGACAGCCAACGGAATTTTTAATTTAACTTAACTCCGCATTGTATTATGTATGATACTAATGCACCGTATATTACATTAATGTTTAACCGTGACATAGGCGGGATTGGCCAATGTTGTGGCTGGCCCATAATGCAATAATCAGGTCTCTCAAACCTTATTATGGCTCCAGTCCCATCCAGTATGCACATTGTACAGTGCATTGCTACACTGGGCTTTGGTCGGCATTGCAGTTGATTGGCCAAAGCTGGTTGGCTCTCATGCATTTGTGTGTGTGTGTGTGTGTTGGTCAAAACTGAAGTTTGTGTGAACCAAGTGTAATTTTGAGTAAGGCCATAAACATTATAACATTTTGAGTAGATAAACTATTTAATTGGTTGTTAAATTCAAAAGAATAAATATGGTATACATTTTTTGAAAAAAAAAATTAATACCTTTATGAGTTTATTTAGTTTTTCAAAGGAAAACAACATTTGTTAACTGACTCAAAGACAACTACAATATTGTTAAGTGTAATTCGTTGTACGAAGTCTAAGTAACTGCTTCGATATAAGTCAGTCGAATAAGGTCTGCCAATATTTTAATTGTTATAATTTACAATTTCATAAAGATGTAGTGAGTTAGATTGTGTAGCCCTGTTATTGATTGAGCTAACTCGTTTTAGCGAAGATAATATATTAAAAGCCCAGTTTAAACAAAAATCTGGTCTAATTTCAAACCACCAAAAAGCTACTGAGTTTCCTTGTGAACAAACTATATTCCACTTTATTATTAGGCAGGCTACAGCCATAACCTTTCAGTTTTACTATTACCACTCAGCCATGCAGCTATTTAAGAATTATATCCAGATACCTTTAAAACTCAATTGAAAGCTTGGAATATTTAAATAGACTAAGAACAATCATCACATGGAGAATGTTTTGTCTGAAATTATTTTTCCTGTAAAGTTGTATGAATATGTATCCAGTGAGGTTGGAGAAGCAAACATTGCACTTGTTTGACTCAGGTACTGTCTGTCACTCCCCGCCTTCACTGACGGAATACATAATATCCTTCACTGAAACTGACAAGTCCGGGAGAGAAAGTGGCTCTTGAAACATTTTTAGCTAAGAATAAATGGTGTTATGAAGAGACTATTCTTGTCTAAAACATTACGAGAAGTATGTAAAACATTGGGAGAAACCGGTAAAACAAGGGGAATCTAGAAAACATTTTGAGGAAGATTTGGAACAAGCTTATTCTGTTAAATATTATAAGTAATCTGTAAAGTTCCATAGGAATATACGTAAAACATTTAAGAAACATCATAAGGAATCTGTGAAATATTATAAATATGCTGAAAACCCTAAATTACTTGTGAAATCAAATCTTACATTGGTAATTTTGAAATGACCTAAAAAAGCTTTTGTACTTTAACGTGCAAAATTAACCCTAAACGTATAATTATTTTTGGTGTATTCATTTTATTAGTTGTGCTTTCTTATTTAAATTAGACGTATTCTCTTCTTCCCTTCTTCAACATTTCGTAAATACTTGGATTCAAACCCTTTTGTTTTAAATACCTTACGAGGTGTTAGCCCGTCCTACGTACGGGAATTCAGAAGTCAGTTAAAACCGTATACAATTCAGATCGGCTAGTTTACACATATAAAGACAAAGTTTCTTGCAGTTTTAATGTGAAAAATCATCTTGTAAATAAATGTTGTGTGACCAAATCTGTTTTTATTCCATCATGATAGGCCTATACGATATGCATTTTAAATCCGATAATTTTACAATAAAACAGCAATTCTGCAATTTTTACGACGTGAAAAGTGTTGAAGTGAGATTTGCAGCCGATTCGCACAGACGCACATTGATTATAAGTAGCCTACGGTCGTGCCACCTTAGCATACCTGCCTCTTCCATAATTATTATCACCAAAATACAA